TGCAGCGCAAGTCTACCGGCACTATAAACCCCTGCGCAAGTCACCGTCCCTGCTCCCACCTGGTGTGGGGCACACGGTGGACATCGTCGAAATCGACGGTCGAACTGTCGTGTGTGTGTGTGTGTGTGTGTGTGTGTGTGTGCCCTCAAAACGGGCCACGTGTTAGATGCGCTGGACCAAAACGGGGGCCACATCGGACTCCGGCAGGCGTTATCTGTGCGTAATAACAAGTGCCAACATTTGCGGGGTGCGCTGGCGGACCCTGTTGTCGGCATTCGTCGCACAACTGGACCACTGTCACCACCCCATTGTTTTGTGGTCAAAATCCTGGTCATTTGTGTGTGGACCAGGGGGTGCGGAGTGAGCGCCAAGGCGAGGATCCGTCCGAGCCATCCACCTGCGGCCTCCCCCGTCTCCGGTCTTCTTGACTCTGTCTTGACACCGGGCCCAGGCGGGGGAGGAGGAGAGAGTGTAGGTAGATGCAGCGCAAGTCTACTGGCACTATAAACCCCTGCGCAAGTCACCGTCCCTGCTCCCACAATGCAATCTGTGGGGCACACGGTGGTCATCGTCGAAATCGACGGACGAACTGTCGTGTGTGTGTGTGTGTGTGTGTGTGTGTGTGTGTGTGTGTTTATTTGGGTAGTGTCTCTCAATCGGTGACCGGTTAGTTACCCGGTATTTAAGTGGCAATGAGCCAGACAAGAACAGGGCTGCGCCTGTGTACGTCTGCCATGCCATGATTCAGAAAGCTATGACCATCGCAGCATTGTGTGTGCTGGCAGTTCTCTGGCACCCGATTCCCTGCCCGTATGTGTACTTGCGCTCCTGCTTGGTGTACAGGTGCTACGCCAGTTATCCAGTCATTCTTCTCTTTTTGACTTGTTATTTTGTTGTTGTTGGTTAAAATCCTGGCCAAATGTTTTTTGTGGACCGGGTGGTGTGGTGGCACGCCAAGGTGCGGTCTTGGCCGTGCCATCCACATTTTCCTACGAAAATTGATTTCATCTCCGCTACCCGTAGGATTTATTTGCCGGCGGCACATTTTTACGGGTCATATAAGCATTCGATATGTGCACCATTCAAAAACGGAATTGGGCCGAGGATATGGTTTCTGACTTACGGATCTTACTGCGTGCGTGGTAATGTTCCTGTTCACGATAAACTCCCTCTTTCTTTTTTTATCTAACTACACTCGTGAACCTAGGTATCTCTGATAGCAGTGAAACCCGACTCTGAGACAGACTGTCGTCATTCATAAGTTGCTGCAACTTAAATGGTTCACGGGGCCCATGGGCCTCGCGTTGCTAACAGCACAGATGACTGCGCTCCCGATTATTAGGAAGTCGACTCAGTACCGTCGTCATAGGGTAGCAGCATATACTTCAGTTCCTCCGGTAACGCTGAGACCTGCTCTTCTGACAAAGAATCCATGTCTCATGGGAGGTTGCCCCAAATGGCATCATATAATAAGCTAGATAAATCTACACGGACAAGTCAAGTGACGGTCATCTAGAGACCTCTCAGAACTCGGATCCCATCATAAAAGAAAAACTGCAATCCTGCGCATTACGTTCCCAAATTCCGCTAGTTCATCTGACCAGTCTTCTCAAAATTATATTCATCTCAGACCCTCAACCATGCACTCCGCGCACGATCATATATTAAAAATTTGAAAAGACACTGATGTTTTTAGTTTGATCTTTCAAATGCATGAAGACGCACCCAGATAGCTACTGTACAATGCAGAAGCCTGCTGATGGGAAATCAGTTTACCGGGTGGATCAAAAGCCTTTGATCTATAACCTTTTAATTCATAGTGATTACGGCGATTTTTTAAAATGGTCATCACTTTTTCGCTGTCGGGCTCACCTTATTGAACGTTGTCCAGTTTGGGCTGATTCGATGCCAAATCTGCTGACAAGTTTGGCCGAGGCTTGGTATAAACCCTCGTCCAGGGTTGCTCCTGTTGAACTCTGGAGCGATAAGTTTGCCCCCTTAGAAGTTGTACGTTATTTACATTATTATATATGACATAATTTTCGGTTTCCAGATTTAATAAGCAGCAGTTTAAAACCCCTTCTCTAGCGCATATCTTTTCATACTAATGAATACCTGCATATTCTCTGAAGCGAAGCTTGTAAATGGTTGTGGGTCGAACGCGAGTACCCATATCCGCACCATGCGACGTGTTCTCGGCCAACGTACACTTTGGGAGTATAGTGAAACAACCCTTTATATGCAAAGAACAGCGTATAAGCCGTTGTTCTTCATCACATCCTTGGTCGCATGTCATTTCGCTGACAAGTACATTGACCAGATGTCGATTTTGACCCTTAAATCGATATCGACTCGATAACGTTTTTGCCATTTCCGTCTTCGCAGGCCCTCTCTCGCATGTTTATTTAGAACTCATATCCTGTGGGTACGTCAACGACAGATATCTTCAAAGACGGTCAGTTTCTGTGTGTTATATCGAAACGTTCATAAAAAGTGTAACGTGTACATAGGTTGGGCGGGGTCTATCAGCGGTTACCGAATAAGTTTTCACAGAAGCTTTGCAGAGGTAACAGCGGATCCCCTTACGACGATCCGGTTTTTTCTCCACATGGCAGGAGTATTTTTTGAATATGTGAAATCCACTTACTCGTCGAGTGGTCAGTACTTTGCCTCTAAATCCCTCGTTAGAAGCTGTCAGGTGGCCTTTTCAGGCGTTTGATATACGCGGACTCCAACTCAGACAGACTAGTGTGCCAGTTCGTATTTGGCCTCTCGAGCAGCAACGTACGTAATTACCTTTGTTCCTGTTATAGCCTCGTATATTTTCGATCCAGGACGACCGTCCTTTAATTTCCGGCCGTTGAAACTGATGTACACGCTTATTTTCTCGTCTAACAGCTCGTAAAAAGCGCAGTTAACGAAGTCGTCAATCGTCCAGCCATCGAGGCATAAGGCTTTAAGCCTAGTACACTGCATAATTAATAAATGCATAGTCTAGTAGATGGCTTTTGCTGCCATCGTCTGCCACTGGCACGTTACTGTCGGACATCTGTAACCGAACGTAGGGATCGGTCTTCAGGATTTTCAGACGACTCAGCGGCTACTTCCTGCGGTTGTGTATCGTCGAATAACTAATGCTCCCAATTTGCATGGTCGCCAATGCTCCCGTAGGGGACTTTTCGTGAGAAAATTTGTCCTACACGGTGCAGGCACCTTGTGTTGACACATGATACGCAAGGTGCGCGGAATTTTTAACCAGCTGGTTACTTGGCAAGGGCTCTGGGAGGCCCACATAAGAACTCAAAGGTCACATGACGTTTCACCACCCAGTCACGGACGGTCCTCGATGGGTACTCTGTCGGAGGAATCCTCCACGTCTCGGTCGTTCTTGTTTGTTTTCTTAAACTTAGAACAAAGTAATTTATCGTAACTTGCTGGCCTTTGACGACCTAACACCCAGACCGCCTGGTCTAAGGTAGACCATCACTGCCTTCGTGAAGTTCGACAAGCCGGTATGACGCTAATGATTATGTTTACAAACGAACAGAAAAACGGACAAGCGGGCTCAAAATGTCTACGATCATCCTACCACAATGTACACTTACGCTCTTTAGTGCTCACGATCCACACAGTATGCGGGCTTTGCTTGTATGGTTCAGCTCTTTTCTCGAAAGCGAACGGCAAGTAAGTGTCACCCCAAAAGCCAGGGCCCGTTTCCAAGCCGTAATAGTTCCTTTTGAAATGTAATGGTTTTCCACTTGAAGACGCACATACTTAGTAGAGCATATTGACAAAGGTGCGCAGTTGACAATGCCATCATCGTCAGCCGTTTACTGTTTTGGGTAGTCAAATTAATCGAACATGCTAATGAATTCACATAATACTTTGCAAATACATCCGCCATGATCAGATAATATGTTGTCGACACACTATCCTATTACCAATTCCAATACATCTTTCGGCTGGTGGGATGTCAACGCCAAAGCTTCCTATGATAACACACTCGTATTGCTCACTGCTTTCATATCATGCTGGGAGTGATCCCAAATTGTGTCTGTGAAGCAACTCAGCTGAAGGAGGCCTCGGTGGGCCACATACGGCTACCACTACCTTGCTGAGGCGTCTAACTATCTGCTGCAGAGGCCGTGATGGGCTTCTCAGCAGTTTCTTTAATTTGTCTAAATAACTTTCAAAATGGGTGGGAGAAAAGGAGTTAGGTCCATCCTGGCGATCAACTTCACCAGCAATCTGCATTGAACTGTGCACTTTGTAGACCGCGTGCTCCTGGTCGTACAAGGTAAACAATTTGCGGGGGAATAGTTTGAACAACTCGCAGTCAAAAATAAAACGCCTTTCGGATTTATTCAGCCGCGTTATGTGAACTCTGGCACTCAAAAATAATGTCCTCTACTATACAGTTTCGATAGTTCCTAGGTGTAGCTCCCTAGCGTGGTGCACATACGATCAAAAGACACATTTATCTTTCCGCCCCTGTTTCTGGATCTGCGAGCTGTCCACCACAGCGAGCTTTAAGTGGGATTTCTCTTTAAATAAGAAAGAGCGCGCCTGAGTGGGTACTCATCCCATATCTTCTGATATCGTCCAAGTGTAGTTTTCAGTCAGCCTGCATATTTCGTGGAAACCCGTTCCCTTCTCATAAGCCCGCAGACCGAATCAGTCGATTTGTTGCTTAAAGACTCTTCTGATCAAAATTAAACAAGGGAACTATCTAGTATCAGCATTGAGGTAAGATGCTTGCCTTTTTTTCGATATATTCTTGGCACCAAAGAATGTCTGCCAAACTCGAAGTAAAGCCAAGCAAGAATGGGCAGCGAATTATGAACTACCCCTGTTTTATTTTCTATTGGTCTAAATTTTAGGTAGGACTGAAGACTAGGCGGAGGCGTGTGTTTTGCAGTTAACTCCTAGACAACTCTAACTCTCTATCTGTGTGACGGAGAATTTCGTTTTAGTCTCCTATGTTCCTTTTTTATATGCCCTGTCTTTTCCATCCACTGTTACTAAATTTATGGCGTAGGTCATCTTATTTACGTGTGTGTCAAACTTTTTATTCATGTACTCAGTACGCGAGAACTATTGCCGTCACATGTGGTTCGTATGTTGGGTAAAATCACTCGGAGATTAAAACAAGAAATGCAACAGCAGAACTACCGTAACTCCTGCTCGTTTAATAAGTATGTCCGTTAATGGGTAATTTTCTACCAGATTTCTTGACCATGTCCATTTTCTTTCTATACCTAATGCTTAGATATCGAGTTGAAGGTTAACTGTTCACGCCTTCAGTTTTCCATCACTCCCTTAGCCTTGATCATGAAAAGTTAAAACACGAATATCAGTATACCATTTTAGACTGTAAGCTTTCAGTCGTTTAAACAGGCACACTGTTTTGTTATCCCCAGAAGGAAGTCGCCATTCATCATGACAAACTTCGAGAGGTCTCGGAGTCCTTTGCGAAAGCGAGGGCAGCGCACGGCGGTATACTTCTTCTTACAGGCCCACCCGGCTGCTCAAAGTCCACTGTAGTACGCTTACTCTGTCGCTCTCTCGGACTTCCAGTACTACAGTGGGAGGAATCAGAGGAGCTGACCAATGCACCCGATGAAGTTCAAAGCTTCGAAGACTTCCTGCTAAGCTCTATCAGATACGGCGGGCTAAATTTTCTGTCGACCGCTAAGCCTGCCAATCACTCTGATGGCCAACCGGTACAGGTTTTGCTTGTTGAGGTAGGCTCCACTGGTTTGCTCGTCGACGCTTCCTTTAGTGGGCTGGTGTCCGCATATCCTTAGACATCAAATATATTCATACGAGTGCGACCGAACGTTTCTGATTTAGACCCTTTTGATGTTTATTACGGGATCTCGCAATATGCTCATTTGCACTCATGACTCGATTGTCAATTATGATATAAAATTCATGTCAAATAAAGCGCACACCGGTCTGGTTGACTTGTCAGAAAAAGTGGCTTCATCCTTGTGTTGTAGATATCTCGCGCTGGTGACGAGGCACCAACAGAGCATCGGTTTAATTTTTACGTTGACTCGTCGACATATGCACATCGGTTTGTGTTCTGTCATAAATGTCCGTGACAGGTAGGACTGGCTAAAGATGAAATTAATATGCTCAGTCTGGAGCATAGCCTGTGTGTCTAAGTTGGATTGGCCGAGGTGTACTGAATTATGCTCAGTTGAATGATTATTTCAGCTACTGACGAGTTTATGTAGTTATTATATTCATTGTGCTCTTCCACGTCCTCGTAGTCGATATCTTTTCCATCTTCCCTGTATTATCTCAAACCTCCCTATGTGTGGGTGCCTCTACTTAGAACCCGGAAATTTTAATGTTCTTTTCTTTCATCGGCTAATGTCTTTTCGTACCTTATGTAGCACCTTCCTCTCGGCTTGTGTGATCAACCTCGCCGATTCCATCAGCAATTGCGAACCTTTCTAGGCCTGTCAGTTCGCCCCACCATACTGGTTTTCGTCTTGACCAAGTCACGCTCCGCATCCTCATCCTCCACCTGTGACTTCGACAACACGAATTTGAATCGTCTTTTTCCTCCCAGCTTGAAAGAGGAGCTGCAAATCGCGCACATTGACTTCAATCCGGTTGCAGCGTCCATCATGACTAAGGCGTTAACTCGCGTTGCCAAGTTGGCGTCGGCAGAGGTAGGTTCGGATCAATAGTGGGATCCACATCATTTGCGACATCTAGAAAATGTCGATTGTTCCGGCTTCTATAATCTGCAGTTGAGTGGAGAACGGGTCAATTTGTAGTTTGATGCCGAATTCGTACATGTTTTTACGTCACGAGTTCAATGCTTAACTACCCTTAATCCTTAATTGTCGGAACCACTGCACCAATTTTTACCGGAACAACCGAAAATCTAACGTCCCTTCAAGTTAGCTTTTTGACAGTGTGTTATGTTCGCCAGTACTTTACTGATAGTTGTTACGTATGATAGAAGACCGAGATAGCATAAAAAAAACAACTTAAGAAATCGCTGTAAGTATATCGGCTTCCCCAATACCTCCAAAATACGCCACATGAGAGATGCGTTGGACCAGCACGAGGCCAGACTTGGGCACCGCATGTATCAACAGGGCCGCGCAGAGTCCGCCCATTTCATAACAAATGTTACATGTGGGGAAGGGTGTGATGGCACGTTTAGGCACAAGCTCCCCACGTCGACCGCCTGTGCACACTGAAGTGGCTCCTGAATGTGGTCTCTATGGAACTGTTAGTCAGTTGGGATCCGGACCGACTACTTCTCGTTTCTATGATAGACTGGGCTATTGTGCGAGGGCCAGATCGTGCGTGGCACTCGTAGATGAACTGTTCCATTTTATCATCCTCTGTGCCCATTCCGTCTCCGGTTGTCCTGGCTCTGTCTTGAGGAAGGAGAGGGTGTGGTAGGTGCTGCGAAAGCCCGCTATCAGTGAGCTAATTCACGCGCAAGTCATCGTCCTGTGCCCACTATGCTGTGAGGCACGCGGTGGACATCGTCAGTAACGACGGTTAAACTGTCGTGTTTAGGAGCTGCGGCGTTGTCTACCTGGCGCGTTTCCATTTGTTGACTTCCGAGTACTAGCTTGGGCAGACCCCTTGCGGATTGTCAGCACCGAGATGTCGCATATGGCTATAATGCACACTAGTTATTGACTCACGTACGCGCTTGGTAAGTGACCTCTTGCACTTGCAGTCTATTGTTTTGCATGCTTATGCTCAGGTGGCGGACAATGCATGATTTTCTGAAAATCTCTCATGTAGTACTCGTTTTCGTTTGTTTTCATATAGCATGGCTTCAAAACATCATACTGTCAATATTTAAATAACTTCTTCCTTTATAGTTTCAGTTTCCCGCTCCTCCTAGACAGTTTATACAAGGACTCACAGCCTCAAGCGCTGGGGATCTTCGGCTTGCGCTGAATAACCTTCAATTCCTCATGACTCGAAGTATGCCCTTCTCATGCCTTTCCTTCCGAAGTTCTCAGTTTATTTGAAGAGAGTAGACATCCAAATACTCACATCTAAAGTTTTCCTTACCGTTCATGCGCCAAGCAGCCCATTCAGGACTCGACTCAGTTGCTTAAAGTTAAGTGACTTCTCATTGTATTCGCGTGGACGGTCAACAACGACAGTCTATCTTCACCTACCAGCAAGTTGGTATACATGTATCCTCATCTGGTCTTGTTTAGTGGTCTAATCAACACAATCGTCCTTTCCGCAGTTGCATTCGACCCGGTCAACGTCGTCAAATTTTTCATCGATTTATATTGGGTCTTTTAGATGCACGAGCTGTTGGTGATTTGTCGCCATCTATCTATGTGTTATTCCATTCTTCAGTTCTCTCACTTAGGGACACATTAACACTATATCACGGCGCGCCTACACTTCGGCCTAAACTTCTTTTTTTCGTTTCTCCTGTTGACTTTTCGCTGGCATTGTTCAACAAAACAGCCAGGGTATCCGTTGGCTGTATAGAGCTTTCGGGGACATTTTACGTCAGCCTTTGTCGTCTAGCTTGCTGTAACATGGCGGCGGGACTCTTAGGCTATTAAACAGTCACCAAATCAAACCAAATTCAGGGTTTTCTTTAAAGGAGACAATCGGTCACGCTGGTGCTCCTGTCTTTGCAACATCAAGTTTCATTATTGTCCGCACGCCTGTTATTGTCTTTGCTGCCCGAAGTCCCCGTTGTTGCTGTTTGCCAGTCCTCAATGAGTTGTCTTCACAAACACCCCATGCAATGTAGTCGCTGAGACGTGTCACGATCTTAACATATACCTCCTTGCCAATAGATTATACGTACACATACACATATGTTGGAAGTGAGTCCACCTACCGGTTCACGGGACATGCCCATCCCGTTGTGCTTTGAGGATTAATTTAGTCCCACAAATAGCCGCACAGCGGCTAGTAGTATAGACATGAGGATATTACCGACAGGGACAAAGGATATTGTGATGTCCACTTCTTGCTTATTGACCGCCGTCAACCAGTCTCTAACCACCTGAGCCACGTGGCCCCGGCCTAGAGCTGTAAGCTCAATCACATTTGGGTCGAGTTAACCGCCCAACCTACTGCAACGTATGAAATCCACCAATTCTGATGCGCTTAACTGACTTACCGGACAGGATTTCGTAGGCAACCAATCGAGAATCCACCTGACGACTGTCAAGCTCACTTTATTAAGAGCGTTGTTGGCAGATTTGAATAATTACCCAGACGTAATTGTGAAAAACACGGCGGTAGGTAAACTGGTGCGGACTGTTTCGGACTTCGAAAGTATATTGTCCATTGACAATTATTCGCTCCCTGCTAGTCTGGAAATATGTTGACTTTGAACGATTTCTTTATTTTCATTTCCCAAAATCATACACCAAATAAAATATCATTTGAATAGCCTTGAATTCACCGGGAAAGACTGTTCACTTATGTCGCCACGTATGAATTTAACCGAAATACTCTGAGAAACTGATAAACTAGAAAACGCTGTTTTACAAGAAACTTGAGTTCATCGCCGGCCAGACTTCCCATCGCCATTTGCCGAGCCGGTTAATAATAAGTCTTACCTTTTCTGAATTGCAAAGTAAGACGTAAAATGAATATTTAATTGGCGCATAAGTTAGTAGATTTCTTTTACCAAGTCGTTTTGATTACGTCTTCTTGCGCTTATGTGGTAAGACTATGGAGTCCAGGATTGAAAATCGAGATGTCGCTGTTTCTGCGACCGACCAAGATTACGCCAGTCCCACCGTTGACGGGACATTTACATTATCCTGGGCCCATTCGGCTGGAGATCGGCTTTATTTCCACCGCTCTGCTCATTTCCTTCATTCCCTTTCATATTCTTGTACTTTCCTGCCCCAAGGTGTCACAAAAAATGGAAACTTTGTCCCCATCTCAAACGGCTCCAGTTTGGAGTCCCATGAGCGGGATTCCGGTATTCAGCTCTTCCATGCTCTGGGAAAGATACTTTACGCCAAACGTGAGTCGGCAACTGTTCTGATTGTCCATTTTGTCTCGTAAATATTAATATGCGCTAAACTGAAGTCTGCGGCCGTGACCTTGTCGTCTACGTAAGTGCCGCGGCAGCGTCAGCAGCCGGGTTTACTGAACCCTGATTGATCTGTTTTGTTCCATGCGTCTGTGACACGCAGGGGTGAGACAAGCTATCTTCTGCAGACTGTGCCGTATTTTGTTCTTATTGTGTTATCTACGAAGGGGGAGAGACTGAGCATCGGGTCGGGACACCATAGAAACCAGCCTGCAGCCGTCGATCGATAGGAGTTGCATGAACTAATGCTACTTCCTCTGGCTTATCCGATCTCTGAATGGCACTAATTCACATCACAGTCATGCCACAATCTCGACCACCATACCCGATCATCCAAATAAACTACCCTTTTGGACTCATATCTTTATACCCCCCCCCCACCACCACCACCACTTTAATCAGACGTAATTAAGACTTTGTTATAATCGGAACATGCATCACATCCAAGTGCCGAGCCCATGTGAAGGTACTGGAGATGTCCCATTTCTCCCCCAGGTGCCTTCTTTTTGCAGTTCGTTCAGTATGCCACCACTGCTCGGATTTCTAAAATACCATCGCTGAGTGGCTGCGCTTTTAAAATTCGACATGACTCTCACTACGGCTATCTGAAAGAAATCAGTCTGTTAAAAGCGGACTTCCATTGTAATTGAGCAAATTTATTTGAGCTAGACCAAATGCGCATTTGCGTGCCTCCCCGTTCGCGTCTTCTCACTCTTTTTCTGGTTTTTTTTTTGTAGGCCTCGACGATATTCCATCCCCCGAGGGATCCTTCCTACCCAAACATTTGTATCAGTGGAAAAGGCCTCAATTGTCATTCATTCCTGAGGTACTTATCGTTTTTTGACCTCCTGCACTTGCGGTCTATTGTTTTCCATAAAGTGTTCAGTGGCCTCTACCTATGGATTCTAATTGTAACCGGGTATTTGAGGAAATGTAATTAATTAATCCTCCCTCACTGTCTTATTTTAACGTCGTCCAATTCACTGTATATCTATTCTCAGTTTGGAATCCTTTAACCTTGTCCAATGGGGTAAAGGAAGAGCAGGGTGAGACACTTTTGTGACCTAAGTTGAATGCCGGATGGATCATCTCGTCCTCTATCCAAAATTGGTAACATGCCCTGCAATGAACAGTAGAACGCCGCTGTGATCTGCACGTTAGACAATGACTCAGCCATTGCGCCCAATCTCGTCTCCTGTCGACTTGAGTTTAACAGGCCACTGGGACATAGGAGGGAAGAGAAAGCGCGATCGACTCAGGTGCTTAGTTCCATCTCACAGACATCTGACATCCAGTGACCGCACGCCACTCCTGAGCTACCTTAGTTTTCCACTCACTACTTTTTCAGGTGGTTCTTGCCCAATGCGGCCTCTCCGGTGACGGCGTGATTGCCTGGTTGCACGAAAATTTCCCCCTCTTTTTCGACCTCGAGGGAATGGTGTGGATCACCCAAAATTTGACCTTCGCTGACGCCTATCTTACCGGCGGCATGAACTGGCGCCTCGGCTTAACTCCCGCCGCTGATCGGAACGCTGACAGCGGTAAGACCGGGGGAACCAACCACGTCTCGGGCGCGGGCGACCACTACGCAGCTATGTGCGTCGTCCGCGCTATCACCCTCGCTACCCGCTCCGCCACTCCTGGTAGCACAGGCAGAACCTTCCGCATGTTCAAGTCACCTCAGTCTCGTCAACTGATGTGGGCATCTCAGGACGCTCGGGCGGTAGTCCTTCAACAAGCAACCTCTCAGCTGGTGTCGCATTGCGCAGCCACTGGCAGCCGTCTCCAATCTATAGTGGTAGCGGGACTGCGCGAGGCCCTTCTGGACCGGTTCCCGGCAGAGTTGAAGATTCCGAACTCCCCCATGACCAGTGGTACGTTTCCCTTATTTAACTTTTGACGGCTGTTTTGATTTTTCACGAGTATCTGTGCCACCGTTCGCGTCCCTCTATTTCTAGCGGATCGTCCACGACAGGGGGCACAGTCGTCACTTGCGCGTGAATTGGTTTGCAGTGAAACAGGGTTTCTCCGCATCTACACTGCTGTCTTTTCTCACGCACGGACGCAGGCAACAAAACTCCGTTTTCGTCCTCTTCATCTACTTTTAGGCTGTGTTCTCAAATGCGGTGCTTGTTTCATTTCTAAATTACGTTTCAGCAGAAGCTCAGCAGCACCAAATGTATCTCGCATTACAACAAAAAGTTCACATGGCCATTCGATTGTGGGTTTTTTAGCAAGTGTACCAAAACAACGACTGCCCGTTGACGTTATTGTTGCTCTCTAGAGCACGAAATATGAAAGTAACCTAGGTATAGACATTTCGCCTCGCCCTATGTACGCAGACTAAAACATCAAGCTTGAAGTTGGCGAAGGTTGGTTTGCTAAATCCTTCCATTTGAATTACTGCGTTCTGAAACGGGGAACACGTGCAGGTATGCAGATGCGGTCTGTGGTAATTATTTCACAAGAAATTGCCCGAATATAATAAAAGAACGATTTCGGCCAAAATCCCGACCATCGTTTTTCATGAGCTTTATACTAGAGAATTAACAAATATGCACATATTTTGTATGCAGAGTGCGCTTAAAACCAAGGAGTTCGAAGGAAGTTCTGCCATTGTCGCACACTCTGGCCACACTGATATGACCGGGTCCAATCATCTCATCAATATTTACAGCGGTTATAGAGATGAACCTTCGATCCCCCAATGAATTCCGTCAGGTTTTTCTCATTTAAAATAATCTCGCCCGTCGTAAATAAGTTGTCTTTGCTACTCATCTTCAATGGTCTTCGGTCAGATTACTTTTATTCAGAGGAGAAGGGGCGAACAATTGGACAGTTCCCCTTTGCATAAGGGTTTTTCTGAAAATTGTGTGTCACGACAGAACCCGCCGTTTGTGACTTACATTACATAGGTTAAGTATCTAATGATTTTGGGGCAACTAAAACGATTACATGGGAGTCTTACAGATGCAGCTAAAAGGGCGTACGCCCGGGACTTCAGGGGCGCCGTCATCGTGCACATATATGCAGTCACTTAGCGGTCTCATGAAATGTTGTCCGAAATTCTGAAATGCCTTTTCTACTTGGAGGAATTACTAAGATGGGGTTGTAGTATCGATTATCTTACGGCGCAGCCCCAAGATATTTTCGAATCGCCAGGATGTTGGCTTTTGAGTACACTTCCTTTCGGCCGCGTATAAAAACCGCACTCAGCAAGAATGACTGCGTTAGTAGCATGTTTTCACACAGATTTTCGACGCCCCTATAAATTCAAATGTATTTTATAGAAAACATGCACAAAACACTCCCTCTTGTTCTCATTTGTTGGCAGATCATGTCTTCTCCTAATTGTATACCCAATGGACGGTTGCCTTTCCGTTTAAAAAAGTTTTTCTATACTTGTATAATGTTGAGTCCGATCTGCTGTTGCATTTGCGTTAAGCTCAATAACCGACTGAACTTGGCTCAGGACTTCGGACCCTCCTCGCGATTGGGACACGGCTGACTGAGGAGGGCGAAAGTGTTGGAAACCTCTATTCTAGTCTTACTTGTGTTTGTCGATTATTCTTAATTACTCATCGCTGTTCCATTGTCTGCGATGTTTTTGGACCGAAGTTTCAAGGCCAACCAAAAAGGCAAGCACTCCATGACGAAAGCAGAGCAGACCGGTGAATGTAACTCCCACGTTATTGAACGTGCGTGAAAGTGACAACATTTAAATACGCGCAAAAATAGGAGACCTTTGTTGTGTTTTGCCAGCAATACTGCGAAGAACAGCATTTAGAACTACTCTTTTCGTAGACTGTGCCCGGCTGAATACATGTAATGAAAGTGTTCTACAAAGCAGGGCGAATTGGAATACCAATTTCTGGCTTAGTTCCCATCCACAGGCTGGCCACGCCATCTACCGTTGTGTGGATCAGGCATGTGGCCTGCATTTAGGGCCCACGCTGATCCAAACTGGCTCACTTTATGTTGGAAGTGAGGGCGACTCGTTTACACATCTTGCACTTCTTCCCTGACCTTTATTTATCTCGTTCTTCTCCGCTGTAGATGTGGAATCTCTACAAGCCATCTGTCTGTTTGCCGTTGACGAGCGGGCGGTGCACAAGAGACCCCACTTCACTCGGCAAATAGCCCATCGGGAGCAGGATCCTATGTCCGTGTATTGTCCACCCGATGCTGCTGCTGAAGGAGACGCCCTGCCTATTGAGGAGGACTTGAGCGATTCTGAAATCCCGCGGTAACATGGGGATTGTCAGGATTTTAACAAATCCGGCCGCTCGCCATACGCCTTCGCACACACTCCTTTCCGGAGACGCACAGCATTTAACTTTATCAGATTGTTTATTTTTCTTACCCTTATCTACGAAAAATGATTCTTTTTACCTCTTACTGAGAATTCTTTTGCAGAAATCTACGCCGTTTTCTTGTTATCTCCGTTTCTTGGCCTACTCCAACTAAAGGGGCTAACATCAACGGAACCTAGTTCATTACCCTCGTAAATTTGAGCCTAATTCCAGGGAACGAGCTCAGACTGTCAACTCAGACGGTGATAGACTATGAGAACCGGGTTACAAAGTTTGTCAGGAAAGTCGGTATAAGGAGCCGTCTAGTGAGACGAATGCCACAGACTGTAAGCATTTGGGAAAGACAAAAAGAGGGCCAATAAATGGTCAAATTGCATGTCGGTAAGTGTGTTGAGTCAAAGAGCCGCACGGAAAAAATGAATTTACGCCACCTAGCGGTGTTCGTTTTTTACATGCTAATAAGAAATAGTAGTTGTTGGGTCAAAGACCTCTTCGGTGTTCCATCCATATTTTCGCAGTGTGAATTTTCCTTTACATTGACTGCTCTTTTATTCTCGTGCCTGTTAAATGCAGTTTCCGAGAGATTCGCGTTGTGATTGCCGTGTTAATTATTGTTGTGTTTCTGCTAAAAGGTCCTTCCGTGGATCCTTTGAGGACTACTTGAAACCTGAAGTAGTGGAAGGAAAATGTTATATGTCAGCGCAAGCTGACATGGAGGTAAAGCTTTCTGGCTCTTTCAGAGGACCTTGCCGGACATACGTCGCTCATTTTCTGGCTCAGAGCGTAACCCACGTGTGGCTATTATGATGCCGATGGGGACGAAGAAGAGTAAATGTTAATCAGGGGAGTTAGGTGATGTTGCGGCAGTCTGTTCCTGCGATCGCCAGCGCGGTCGCTTAACAGTGACGTCTTCAGCCCATCTGGCGTCCTTTGTCAGTCTACTGTTTATCCGCGCGAAACTTGGCGCCAGCGTGGCGAGAGCTCGTGTTCAATCGACGCTGTGGTCGTTGCTGATTGGCTGAAAGCGGACAAAGCCCACGCTTCGCGCTGGGGGCTAAGAGTCTTAACGATTGTCACTCGCCTTATTAATGTTTACCCCACCAACTCTGCCTCCCCGACTTGATCTTGGAATCGTTCAGTAGTGAAACCGTCACATCTTCAAACATGCTGTAAACTCACACTTTTGCTCGTTCTCTGAAGCCTAAAAAGTGACCAAATTTGCTCCTTCATCGTTCCCGTCCAACCGGTCACTAGCTTGTCTTCGGTAGCGGCGGCCAGGTTTTCAGGAGGACTGACTGTCCGCCTACTTTGGCTCATTACCGGTCTTCTACTGATTCATCCCTGAATTTTAAAAATCGTGGGAGAAAGCTGAAATATCCACGCATTTTTCGACGATTTTGACAGGTAGGCTTGCGCATAGCTTTGAAAGATGAAAGTCGCGATTATTTATAGGTCAGTTAGCGTTTATCAGTATGTGCTCAAAAGGATTTTCATGGATGTTAGTGACTGACATGTGATCGGTCACCGCTCAATTCCCGTCGTCTGAAATCCTGGTGCTTGTATTTTGGGGAGCCAGGTCGTGCATGTGGCCCGCTCAGACAAGGTCACTAGATTATGTCAGCCACCGCACTCATTCGCCGCTCTAATCCACCGACCGGCTCCGAAAGTGGTTGAGGCATGGGAATGGGAAGGGAGAGTGAGGTCGACGACTCAGCTCGTTTTTCTCACTATAAACAATCTGACGCGCTTGAAACTATCACGGTGCGCTAAAAACCGTAGCTTGGAAGGTTTCCAACTGACGGGATAACTTGGACCTCGCAGTCAGCCTGCAGCGTATGCTGTCCTCTCCGGGTTGTCATCAATTTACAACTTTCTACCTGAAGCATGCTTACAACCAAGTCGTCCTAGATACTGAATCCCAAGACGCCACCACTATCAATACGCATCGGAGTTTGTTTCGATACACAAGACTACCAATTGGAGTAAGTTCCTCTCCCGGTTTATTTCAATGTTTGATTGATAACCTCATAAAGCATATACCTCATGGTTGCGCATATATTGACGATATATTAGCCACCAGCCTATCTGAACATAGTCATCTGAAGACTTTAAACATTGCAGTAGGACGTTCAAAAGACACAGGTTTTAAACTCAGGAAAGATACGTGCACCTTCCTTGCCTACTCGATGGAATACTTGGGCTCCAGGGGGGATAAAACTGGCCTCCACCCACTCAAACATAAGCTCAAAGCCTTGAAGTCGGCGCCGCGCCCCAACAATACTAGTCAACTGTGTTCGTTTCCGGGGTTGGTCACCCAATTTAGTCTCTTTATGAATCAGTCGGCCACACTTCTAAGGCCTCTTTATCGACTACTTGAAAAAAATCGTTGCTGGGACTGGTCGATGTCGAACAAAGTGCTTTTGAACAGGCGAAGGAGGCTCTTACCTCCTCATCTGTCCTTATTCATTATGACACAGAAAAGCGTATCATACTAAAATGTGATGCGGCTTTGTACGGCGTAAGCGCGGTTCTCATGCCCCTAATGCTTTCTGGTGCGGAGATGCCGATTGCCTTCGCATTAAGAACCCTATCTCAGGTGGACACCAACCATTCGGAATTAAATAAAGAGGCCTTAGCAATAATGTTTGGCCTACATCGCTTCCACCTGTATATTTTTGGCTGACCCTTCGAGATTCACACTGATCACAAACCCCTCTTAGGTTTTTTAGGGGAAAACGAGGGATACAACAGATGTCCTCGCCAAGAATGAAGCGATGAGCACAGGCTGTCTGCTCGCAAATATGCAATGAAATACGTTACGGGTAGTGCAAGCATAGTGGCTGAGGCCTTGAATAGGCTTCCCATTGTAGGTGATGGCGTTACTGGGGCACCTGTTTCTGAGACCGTGAATCATTTGTAGAGCCTAATCAACACACCTGTTTCCCGTCAAAGAATTCGACAGTGGACATCGAGGGACACTCTTTTAAGTCGGGTATAAAGAGCCTTGCAATCTCTCTGGCCGCCATCTACCTCCCTTGATTTTCAACCATTCTTTAGCCGTCAGAACGATTTAAGTCTATAAGATGAATGCCTATTATGGGACAGTCATTTAGTTGTGTTGATACAAGGCCGGTGGGCCATCCTCAGAGACCTGCATAATGCTCATCCTGATACAGTTAGAATGCAATCTCTCACCAGCTGCAAAGTTTGGTGCCCCAAAATTGACGCAAATATTGAAAATGTGCTAAAAGCATGTCAGGTGTGCCAAATAACACAGAAGACCTTTCCGCAGGTGCCTCTGAAGGCTTGAGCCTGGCCCGACTTGCCGTGAAAGAGGGTCGATGGTTGACGCCCACACTAAATGGATTGATGTGACTCCGACGGGAAAGTTGTGTCCTTCATTGATTATAATAAACAAGCTGTAGACCATTTTTCTAATTTTGGATACTTGGAATGGTCGTTTAAGACAATGTCTCGGCCTTTACTTGTGCCGAATTTAAAGAATTCGTGGTGAAAATGGAATTAGGCATTTAACCACTGCCCTGTACCACGCTGCTTATAATGACATCGCAAAGTGTGCAGTTTAGACAATAAAGCGCGGACTAGCCACACAGACGGAAGCGGACTTGGCCACCAAGCTGTCATGCTTTTTGTTCAGCTTTCGCATAACATCAAACGACTCGACCGGTGCTTCGCCCGCAAAATTGATGTTTAAGCGGCTGTTGCGCTCGCGACTCGACCTGCTTAATCTAGCAACGCATGATAAAGTCATTTAAAGACAGACGAAGATGAAAGCACGGCATGATGTGCACATCCGACCACGAGTCGTCGCGCCTAACTAAAGGGTCTACAAGCGACTAGAACACGAAACGAACTTGTGCCCAAGCGGGGGGCAAATAGTAGAATTAGAATAAGAAGATGGAGAAGTGTGTGTCGACATCTGGCCAAGTTCGCAGACGAACGGACACAGTAAGTGGAGAATTCGGAAAGTTCAAACTGCCAGCAACCCTTGATAGGGATCCTGGCATCCCGAAGACTTGTAGCAGCCGCTCCAATCCCCCTTTTCTCAGGCTCCGTTTTGTCGGTCGATGGCCGCGACAAGCGCTGACAGGCCGCTAACACACGACCAACCACACCGGCTAGACTTGGGGCTCTTCCTGTCCAGCTGCAGTGACTCCCGGCTGCCCTCACAAATTAGTATCATCTCATGCGCGTCGGAAGACATGGCTTGATACCCGTGAGCCCCTGTGATTATGCGTCCCCCTAATCCTCCCCTTTTCCGTCCAATCTCATGACCAGCACTCAACCAGTCACCCCACCTACTGACACAGACTATTACCCTCGCGTAAACTACACACCGCGGCTGACGCCTCCGTGAACGGACGCTTATCTCTGTTGCAAGCAAACAGCCAACTTACGGCAACCTGCCCTGTCTACACAATAAACTATTTCTGACAGCTGCCTGACTGCTGACGTTAGACGAAACGAACTTATTGCGCGTGGTTTAAGTTGATCTCACATCCTTGACCACCACAAATTGGTGACACCGAGTTTTAGAACACTGGAATTCCGCAAACCGTTCGTCCACAACAACCATCTTCCGGCGACCTACAGCGCGATGTCCTAAGACCAGAAATCACTAATCAATCCAAATTCTCAAGGAGATAACGTACGTTGGGATCGGCTCGAGGAGGTATTAATGCGCCGGAAAGTCCGGCTCACTGCAGTTACCACTAACGGCTCGCGGTGAACACCAAACCATCGGTGTACTTCCTCCGTTTCCCAAATCCGCCGTCCACAATCTCCAAGTAGCGTCTGTTGGTATCACCAACAATTTGGAGGAGCAACTGAACAATGTTTTCAGCCATGCTCTTTCAAGGCATCTCTAACGACCTCAGGGAGACGATCCCACCCGACAGAAGAGGCCACTGCTGCTGGAAGCTTTTCCGATCTCCACACACGCCGTTTGTTTATCTGGGAGCGTATCACTGACGCCAAATTCCTTGCCGACTCTGGTGCCGAGGTTAACGTGTTTCCACCAACTCCGGCCGAACGCAAACATCGTGGCTCTTTTTGTCTAACAGCCGCCAACAACTCCAGCACCCCCACCTTTGGACAGCGCTCACTCACACTTGATCTGGGCCCTCGTCGGATTTGCAGACGGGTTTTCATTATTGCCGACGTTTCCGTCGTCCTCATAGGTGCCGATTTACTAGCTCGGCACGGTGAACTTTACAACAGACACGGTAAGGGAAACTTTGAGGCAACTACAGCCCACTAAATCCCCTGGTCCGGACGGCGTGTTCGGAAAAGTTCTGAATGAACTCTCAGACCAACTGGCCTCTCCGTTATCCAAGATCTTCAAAACTTCGATGGAGACCGGGGCTTTGCCTACCGACTGGAAGAAAGCAAATATAAGCCCCATTTATAAAGGTGGCGAGAGAACAGTTCCAAATAGTTTCAGACCAGTGTGTCTCACTAGCATCTGTTGCAAGTTGATGGAAAGAGTAATAAAAACGGAGCTGATGCGGCACCTCGAAGAAAACAACTTGCTCAGTCTACATCAGCATGGATTTCGAAAGGGTCGACCATGTCTCGCCAACCTCCTAGTATCCATGGAGAGCTGGACGAAATCAATTGACATGGGCTCATCAGTCGACGCCGTGTACATTGACTTCAAAAAGGCTTTTGACAATGTTCCACACAGACGACTTATATGTAAACTACGTCAAGTGGATGTGAATGGAAATCTTTTGAAATGACTAGCCGATTTTCTTACGGGCAGATCTCAGCGTCTGCGTATCGGAAACGCTAAATCGGAATGGGCATCCGCGCACAGTGGCGTTCCGCAGGGAAGCGTTCTGGGTCCAATTTTTTTCTTAATATATGTGAACGACTGCCTGGACTGTCTGGAGTGCGAGCGAGTAATGTTTGCGGACGATCTCAAATTGTGGAAATCAATAGAGAAACCGGAAGATTCTGTTCAATTACAAGACAATTTAAATCGCTCGCAAAAATGGTGTGATGAGTGGTGTCTTAGCCTCAATCGTAACAAATAAATAAATAAATAAATTTTAATTTAATGCCAGTTTACAGGCATTGTCAAGGGAAGCGATTAAACACAAATCCGACCAGCAGTGAAAAAAAAAAACTCCTGAGCTTAAGGCATAAAATTATAGTTGATGGTGGTTTTTGTGGTTTGGAGGGCTCAGGAGAAAAAAAACTGTCGGCGGTGGTAGAATATCGACCGTCAAGAAGGGGGGAGGTTGCACGGTATCGGAGATTATCGGACGTCAAATTCCTTTTATGAAGTTGGGGATAGTCAAAGTAGAGGCGTTGAGGAACAGCTGGTGAGACCGGCCATAGTGTTCAGAGACCACAAACGCCATCGGTACGGTACAGTCGATCAGTAGATTCAGCACTCAAAATTTGTGGGAGCTTTTCTGAATACAAAAATCGAGTAATGGTTCTCTTAAATAAAGGAAAATTTTGCAGAGTTTTCACACTCATGGGTAGTTTATTCCAAATAGCAATTGCGTTCACAGAAAAGAACCGACGATATTTAACAGTACGTGCCAGAGGCAGAAATAAGAAGACCTCACGGTGACTGTTAGGTCGTGGGTGGATATGATGTCTTAAAGAAGTGAGTGGGTTAAATGTGTGATTATATAAGAGTTTAAATAGCAAAAATAGTCCCTTTTGTAATCTACGGAACCATAAAGGATCAAGGTACGTTAGCCGGCAACCTTCTTGGTAAGACAAATGTCGGTGTTCCGGGGTTAAAATTCTCTTGGTAAAAAAGTGTTGAACGGATTCTATTTTCTTCCGCTCAGTAGCACGCATGAGGCTAAATGAAAACGAACAGTATTCCAGACCAGGTCTAACGTACATGTTGAAAAGGCGCATTCTAATGTCCCTAGTTTTAAAATTTCGGAGGATAAACCCGGTCGTTCTACGTGCTTTGGAGACTATCAAGGCACAGTGCTCCGAGAGATTAAGACTCTTGGAGTATGATACGCCCAAATCCCTTATGCATCATCAACCTTCATGCCCGTTGTCAATCCAATGTGAACCCCCCGTGTCAACCCTCTCACTGTTATGCCCACCTCTGACTGTCCTTTCCTCTCACTCCTCAGGCAATTCCCCCGTCCGACCAACCCCTCATTTCGTGAAGTGAACATCAAATGCACAGTCACCCACCACGTTCGCACCACTGGACCTCCCAAATCTAGCCGACCAAGTCTTCTTGCCCCGGAGAGTTTGAAAATTGCCAAGGCAGAGTTCGAACACATGCTTGAGCTCGGCAACATCCGACAGCGCGACAGCTGCTGGGCATCACCCCTGCATCTTGTCCCAAAGAACAGCGGCGACTGACGACCGCGTGGTGACTATCGGGCGTTGAACTCAGCGGCGGTCCCCGACCAGTATCCCGTCCCGCACATTCAAGACTTCACTCTTTCGCTGCATGGTAAGCGAGTATTTTCCAAGCTGCACCTTGTTCGTGCCTACCACCAAATTCCAATCGAGGTCAGTGATGTGCCGAAAACTTCAGTAATCACTCCCTTTGGGTTATTCGAATTCACTCGTATGCCCTTTGGACTGAGGTATGTCACTCAAAATTTTCAGCGATTCATTTATCAGGTTCTGTGAGGTCTCGACTTCGTCTACGCCTACATTGATGATTTGCTGGTGGCTAGCTCTGACACTGCTGGACACGAGATTCATAGTCGACAACTCTTCGAACGGCTCGACTCCTTTGGCGTTGTAATCAATTCTGCTAAATGTGAGTTTGGAGTCCCCAGCCTTATCTTCTTGGGTCACGAATTACACTCTGATGGGATAAAGCCCGTCCCAGAAAAGGTTTCGGCAAGATCAACGTTCCCCGTTCCAACAACCATCAACCAACTACGCCGCTTCTTGGGGATGGCCAACTACTATCACCGTTTTCTTCCCCATGGTGCTACCATACTGCAGCCACTCAACAGCCTGTTGACCCACTCCAAGAAGACACTGGTGATAACCGTGGAGGCCGTCAGGTCCTTCAGTGACGTCAAGGCCGCACTTTCCAGCGCAACACTGCTTTCCCACCCCCGCGCTGATGCCCAACTAACCCTCATGACAGACGCTTCCAGCACTGCCGTTGGTGCATCACGTCAGCAAACTGGTAGTGGTGTTCTACAGCCTCCGGCTTTCTTCTCGAAGAAGCTCAGCCCAGCAGAGACCCGCTACAGTGTCTTCGGCCAAGAACTTCTCGCCGTCTACTTATCCATCCGGCACTTCCGACATTTCCTCGAGTGTCGCGCATTTGTCGTTCTAACAGATCAGAAGCCACACGTTTTTGCACTGAGGGCCTCTCTCGATCGATATTCGCCCCGTAAAAATCGTCATCTAGATTTCATCTCACAGTTTTCCTGCGACATCCAACATGTCCATGGTAAGGAAAGTGTGGGTGCTGATGCTCTTTTAAGAATTGAGATGGCTTCCATTACAACAGACGCCATAGACTTCACGTTCATGGCTGAGGCACAACGTTTGGGTGACGAGCTCTCCCAATACCGCCAGGAGGACTCTTCTTTGCGTCTTCAAAATGCTCCCTTCCCACTGGCACTAACACTATAACGCGTGACCTTTCTACCGGACACCAACGTCCTTTTGTTCCAGCAACTTTACGAAGACGAGTGTTCAACGCTCTTCACAATCTATCCCATCCTGGAGTCCGGGCGACAGTGAAACTCATCAGTGACCGACTCGTCTGGCCCAACATCAACCGGGATATACGCCGCTTAACCCGATCCTGTCTACCGTGTGTCAGCGTGCCAAAACTTATCGCATACTACTACCCCGCCAGGTACTTTCACCACTCCTGATGCACGTTTAAGTCATGTGCACACTGACCTGGTAGGTCCGCTTCCACCATCTAACGGTTCTGCCTATATGCTGACAGGCATTGACCACTTTACTCGGTGGCCGGTTGCTGCGCCCATTCCGGAAATCAGGGCTGGAACCGAAGCAAAAGCTTTCCTGACGCATTGGGTATCTAATTTTGGAGCTCCCGCGACTGTCACCACTGGCCACGGATCCCAATTCGAGTTCACGCTGTTTCGCGAGCTCACATCCCTTCTCGGTATCAACCGAATTCGAACAACAGCATACCACCCTCAAGCAAATGGTCTCGTCGAACGCTTCCATCGACAGCTTAAGACTTTCATATTGGCCCAGCCCGATCCTTCTCGATGGTCCTATCACCTTCCCCTGGTGCTGTTGTCCCGTCGTTCCACTCTCCGTTGCACAGCAGCTGATCTTGTCTACGGAACCTCCCAACGACTGCCCGGTGATTTAGTGTCTCGTTCAAACACCCAAACGTTTTTTGAACCTGGCAGTTATGTGGAGCGATTACGTATTGCCATGCGCAATCTCTGCGCAACGCCACCTCGTGCGTCTTGGTTCAGCATGACGCTGTCCGGCGGCCACTCCAGCCACTCTATGACGGGTCGTATAAAGTCCTTCGTCGATCTGACAAAGATATTGTCATCGATCGCAACGGCAAGACAGACACAGTCAACATTAATCGTGTAAAGCCGGCCTACATCGACGGTAGTGACCATTTGTGAGGAACCTGTTCCGACCTCCGGGACGCCGTGATTTCCACCATCTTATCTCATTCACCTTAGGTCTACCGCATCTAAGAATCTCCACGGGTACTTATTTTAATGCATTGGACTCGCTTATCGCTCTGCTCCAGTCGGCACAGAACAAAGCCGTTGAAGTAATAGCCCATAGGCACAGGAGAAAGGCTGTGGTTGACTTTTCTCGTGGACTTCAAACGCACATAATAATCTGTCGATTGCTTCCATAACACTCTGAGCTTTCTATAGCCGTCCGCAATAATTGTTACGTAGTCTTACGGTAAGGCTGCCTTATCTTTCTCCTAAACAAATGACCTACACTCTTTCTGTGTCTACATTTTGTACATTTTCACTGCTTCTCTTAGAGCTTGTCCGTTTGTTTGAAAAAAATCAATATGGGATTGGTGGGCGTTAGCAAAATAAGCATTATATACGAGGAACATCTCGAAGCCAAGCATGAGCTTATGCTGCTCATGCGTATTTAACCGTATTAGTGTATAAACTTGTAGCGTATATCTTCTTTTTTTGCAAACGAGTGGAGCAGCAGTAGGGTTATTTGCTCAACGAAGTTTAGCAATCAGTCTTGACAATAGAAAAATGACGCCTGCACACGCTGCTGAGAACACATTCGATAACACGAATCTTC